TTTGCTGGACCATGCACTGATATGGCTCATGTGCCACTTTTGGCATGGTAAAGGCACACTATATGACTTCTTTTCAAAGTCCAGGGTTGTTGAATTGGTCTCACTACAGCTATTCGGATGTGTCTGTTTTAGTTCCTTTCTGTTCCTGCTGGCATGTTAGCTGTGATGCAATTTCTTGAGTATTAGGCAGGTGGTTACTGGGAATCAATAATCTTTTATGGTTTTTGGAGGTCGTGTTATGATTAGATAGGACAGAAAATAATTCTCGCGCAGTCTTGTCACCTTTACGGGACTTTTGGTTCCCAGCTGATGTTTGCCACTCCTAACTTTAGGCACACGGCACGCTACATATTTGTCGGTACATGTTTGGTTTGCACCACAACTGTGTAAAGATGGCAATCGGATCAGGTTTCGCCGGGTCGACCTTCACCAGACCCGTGCCTGAACCCATCATATGGTCCAGCGCCTATGCACGACCCTATCCATGTATCTTTAATGGCACCCATGTTGCAACCTGACTGGTCACCCACTGGTTTTTTAGTATTTTTCTTAATATTTACTTCATGCCCAATACTTGGCGCCACACACTTCCGAACGGATGATTGTTGGTTCTTCTTCTAGTCTCATATAGTCATATATCCAGAGCTCCACGTCCCGTGCGCTCGATTAGGTGAGGTGGTACTAAAGCAGCTGGCCAGCTGCATATTTAACTTGCTGTTGTGCATGCAAAGCAGCACACGCTAGCTTTGGAGGCACAACTGGCCAACGTGTTGCTCCATTGAAGCAACTTAGGTAGCATTTAGTTCATTTATGGGTTTATCTCTTTCGAGCAACCCAACTGGCCAACGTGTTGCTCTGTTGAAGCTACTTAGGTAGCATTTAGTTCATTTATGGGTTGATCTCTTTGGAGCAATAAGCAAAGCAAGATAGATGCATTTTACCCTAAAACAAATCTTCACCAAAACGTCAACATGTCATGTAAAATAAAAACAAAATATTTAAGCACTAATATTAATCGGGTGACCCATGGGTAACTCACGGGCACAAACTCGTAGTCATACCCTACCCACTACTAACCGGGTTACCCATGGATACAACCCATGGGGAAAGAGCACAGCACATACCCTACCCATTCGGGTCGGTTGCCCACAGGCGGCCATAACCATGGGCCCAATTGCCATCTTTACGCTTGTGGCTTGCCGCACTTAATACTCGTATGGCCCATGTCATAGGTTCAACATTTTGCCAAGCTCTGCCACACTTCTTGCTAACTTTTTGCTTAGCCACACTTCGTAACAACTCTTGCTAGTGGCGTATGTCTGCTAGAATTTTAGAACCATACAGTATAGTGGCCCCTGTGCGAGTCTGTCCATTTATGGCTAGAATGGAGAATGACTACTTAAATGATGAACCCTCTTGCATGTTGCGGGTCTACAATGGAGAACAATCGACAATGTATGCTTAATTTTAGTACCCAGAATTGTGTTTACTTGATAAATATGCAGAGAAAGCTTATGGCGGTTTGATGCAAGACTCTTAAGGAGAGTACTATAGAAGTTTGTGGTATAGCCTAGTCTGTAAAGGAGAATTCTCTAGAATTTTTATATGCCTTACACTCTGAACTTGGAAGGATACATTTTGACTCATTGAATGCTTATTGGATGGCACAAAGGATTTGAAATGATGTGGTGCTTTCTTAGCACTTCTTTTGCACTCAACTGTAAAAGAAGATGAAGATTTGACTTTTAGAAGGGACTAACAATGCTTTTCCCCAATCATACTTCTTTTTTGTAACTCGTTATTTATGTCATACTCCCTCTGTCCCAAATTACCCGTCGCAGAAATCTAGACATATTTTTAGTTCTAGATATATCCATTTATATTTGTGCGACAAGTAACTCGGGAGAGAGGGAGTACATAGTTTATTTACTATTGAATCAACCATTGCATATTTACAATTAATAACACTGATATCCGTTGCATTTCTTTCATATATGTTCTTTTACCAGACTATGAAGCATCGGAGATCATTCTTAAAAACGTGCCTCTGTCCGTTGCATTTTTTCCATTTTTATATGATTTATTATAGCTGATCTATTGAAATGTTTCACTGAAATCATTTTCACTCTACTTGCAGGATGATGGGATGCCCTTCAGGCGTATCAGCGTATGTAGTAGTGGTGGACCTGACGCATATGCAGATTATATACACCCTGCTTTTGCTGGTCTTTTCAGCAATGTGGAATGGAATGTCTCATCTACAGCAAAAGTACCCTGAAGTGAAGCCTCTAGATGCTAGGTTGGTTGGCCATTGTTGACTATCCGCCTATTGGACATATTCGATCGAGTAGCATCCCTTTTTCACTGTTACTCTGCTAGTTCTATACCAAATTATAGGCTGAAACATTCTGTCGTTTCGAGACACATTTTAGCTGTGCTGTGGCATATGTGACTCAAAACTGTTGAACTTTTGTGTGTATCAGACTAGTAATGTCTTTAGATTGAACTTTTTACTACAGAACAGATGCATAATTATCTATGTCTATACCATAATCATTCGATCAATCCAGACCGCCCAACCGGATTTTTTTATCGACGAGGAAATTAGTAGGGAGTTTTTTTTCTTCCAAATAATTTCACTCTACTTTGATGTTTTAGTTCTGTCGTACCCTTTTGTTTCATTTACAGCATGCATTGTTGCTTGTTACGCATGCTTGCATTATTGCATATGTGTGAATACTTTGTGTGTGATACTCCCTCCGTCCCAAAATAAGTGTCTTAAACTTAGTACAACTTTGTACTAAAGTTAATACAAAGTTGAGACATGTATTTTGGGATGGAGGGAGTATAAGTCTTTGTAGAGATTCCACTATGGACTATATACCAAACAAAATGAGTGAATCTATACTCTAAAATGCATCTATATACATCCGTATGCAGTTTTTCGTAGTGAAATCTCTACAAAGAGTATTTAGAAATGGAGGAAGTACATCATTACCCCTCCTCCCAGTTGAAGCATGAATAGTTCCGCTTCTGTTCGAAACTGAGTGGCTGAATGATTCTTTGCCAGAATTTGAAACTTGTGGTCATTGGTGAGTAATTCATCTGCATGAGGCCATTTGTGCCTCAAAAGGTTGGACAGCTTCAGGTCTTGTGTCAAATCATATGTGATTTAGTGATTACGTGACAGAAGATGCACCTGCGGCACAGTAACTGTCGAATAATGTCATGGTTTCGCATGACTCGAATAACAAGATATTTTAACCACGGGAACTGTCCAATAACATCATGACGGCGCAGTTCAGGAAAAAAAGGAAAGGCATGCAGGCAGTTGCATTTCGAATTGACTCGACGAGATATCACTCACTGTTCCATGGACCTAGTTCTAATTTTTTTTACCTCTAGTGTGCTATGTACTGCCATGATTGATGAATGGATCGGAAATTCTCTTGCAAAAATAAAATAAAATCACTCACTGGTGCTAGCCTGCAAATCCAAACAAGAATGAGCTTTGGCTTCCATGACAGACGAGAGTTTTTTTTTTTTGAGGGAAGGCCATCATGGCTAGCTTTATTGATTTCAAATAGGAATTACATCGTCTATGAATTTGGAAACCAGACAAGCCGGGGGCTCATCAGTCCATGAACTACAAATTGTGCTCGTTCTTTGAATCAAGCGGCGCATGTGCTAGCTAGTTACTGTTTTTGTAATAGAGAGATTTTTGTTTTCTTTAAGACAAAAACACTTTTTTTTAGACAGATTGATACAAAACACTTGACCACTTAGTCTGGGCTTAAAAAGTTACGAAGCCCAGGCCCAGGATCAGGACGGTCCAGCACCGGATCGGATCGACCACATTCTCACCTAAAAAAAACATGTCCACTTCTGGGTATGGCCCATCACCACGACAAACTCCCGAGTCTTAGGCCGCCACCGGCAGACGCAGAGCTTCCTGCTGCCGCATCTCCGCCAGCACTCCCGCAGACCGCCCCTCCTCGGACGGCGACGAGCACACCGGCGCACACAGACCTCCAGCCCCGGTCGTATGTAGGAGCGCCTCCACCACCCATGGTGAAAGCCGGCGGGGATAACCGTGATCTCCGGCCACCGGGGGCAAAGCCTCCTTCCCCGGTGAGGTGGAGAGGGGCCTGGGCGCCGGCGGAGCGGATCCCTCACGTTTCGCTTCGCCGACGAGCACGCCCCCCGCGCCGCCCTTGTCGCCTTTCGAATCGCTGGAGGCGGACCGTACTGTTACCATTTTGCCCATCACCAGATCGACTTCAAGCCCGACAGGGATTTGGCCGGAGCTCAGCCCATGTGCTACAGATGAATCGGTTCCCGCAGTGCCAGATAAACAGGGCTCACGCTGCCAACAAGATGATCATTCACAGGGTGGTGATTCGTCGACATGGTCATTGCCCAATCTACCCGAGGTACGGGATAAAATGTACTGTACTTTACAGATCTTTCTGAAAGATGTGGTTAATCCTTCTATAGTACTCCCTCCGTCCGGAAATAATTGTCATCAAAATGGACAAAAAGAAATGTATCTAGATACATACATTTTTGTCCATTTTGATGACAAGTATTTCCGGACTGAGGGAGTAGTTGGCTACTCTAGGTTTTGTTCAAAGAATAGGTTATGAAATTGGTTGAAAAAAAGAATAGGTTATGGGGAAAAAATCCAACATTATTAATTTCTTAGTGATATACTCCAGTAGTTGATCATACAAATTGCAACGAACTGTGAAAGCCACCTACATTACTCTTACATAGAAAAGGAATCTCGGTAATGAGCTGAACTTATCTACCAAAATTACATTTCAATGCACTTACCTTCCTCAATGTGCAGCACATTTTGTACAAGTGCGAGCAGATCACTTGGGATTTAACATTTCTCTGTATCATTCCACTATTATTTGTTAAAAATTGTTCAATCCCAGTGATCAACTATTTTTTCCATGCTTGTGCAGGATATCTGGTGCCTTATACATTCCCTAATGCCATTGCGTGATTCTGCCTGCTCTGCCTGTGTATCACGCACATTTCTACGTTCTTGGAGATGTCACCCCAAGCTTATATTCAGTGAGGAAACACTAGGCTTGAAACAGAAAGAAGGCCAAAATATCGATATAGCAAGGGGTTTCACTAGCAGAGTTGATCATATTCTGAAAAATCACTCAGACACTGGTGTGAAGATACTCAAGTTTGTAATCCGTGATCATTACAATGTCGACACTTGTCATCTAAATAGTTGGCTCCAGAAAGCTATCACACCAGGGATTGAAGAAGTCACACTTTTGCTGCCTACGAAATATAGGAAAATGTATGAAGTCCCGTGTTCAGCTCTACTTGATGGGTGTGGAAACTCAATCTGGTATCTTTACCTCACCAATTGTGCCTTCCGCCCCCCGGTTGGATTTGATTGCTTGAGAAGCCTGACAAAGCTGCATCTGTATGGAGTTTGTATCACGGGGGATGAGTTGGGGCATCTTATTTCCAATTGTTTTGCTTTGGAGGAGTTAGAAGTCAGCTGTTGCATGAAGCTAATCTGCCTGGAGATACCATTCTGGCTGGAGCGGCTTAGTTGCTTGACTGTGTCTCAGTGCGACAAGCTGAGAGTGATAAAGAGCACAGCTCCACACCTCTCCATTTTTGACTTCTTTGGTGAACCAGTACAACTCGTGCTTGGAGAATCATCAAAGGTAAAAGACTTAAGGGTGGGGTATTCATTTGCGCCCAATGCTGTGAGTTATGCTATCACTAAGCTACCTTTCATCGCACCACATCTTGAGACTCTTACTGTATACTCGTTTTGTGAGGTATACTCTGAAGCTTCACATTATTAGATTCCAGTGTTTATGACTCATAGGAAGGAATATGATTAATTCGAGTTATCTTTGTGCAGAGGGTTAGTACCCCAATGGTAGCTGACAAATTCCTCCACATAAAGCACTTGAATATCTACCTTGGTGAGGATGATGGTGGGGCTGTTACCCCGGCCTATGATTATTTATCCTTGGCTTCATTTCTGGATGCTTGTCCTGTCTTGGAGAGTTTCATCTTAAGTGTGAGTTAACTGTTCACGCTGCAAAGGTGTCTAGTATCTGCCATGGAGACATTTAATTTGACTGGCATTTATTTGATGCTATGCAGGTAGATCAGAGTGACATGCGGCATGATTCGGTTTTTGAGGATCCCTCCTCACATCTGAGGCAGATTCCTGAACACAGGCGACATGAGAGGCTCAAGAAGGTGCAAATCGATGGCTTTTGCTCTGCAAAGAGCGTAGTTGAGCTAACATGTCATATCCTCAAGAATGCAACGTCACTTGAAAGCCTCACACTGGACTGCATATTTGGTGCGGAGGCGGTTGGTCAGTCTGTTAGGTGTTCTGCCCCAGAATCCGGTAAATGCATGCCCACAAGCCGGCGTATGATCTTGGAAGCACATAAAGCACTCAGTGCCGTCAAGAGATACATCCTGGAGAAAGTTCCCTCTTCAGTCAAGTTAAATGTCGGGGGGCCTTGTACCCGGTGCCATGTTATGGATGTGATGTTGCCGCAGGTATCCAATATGTAGATTTGCGACGTTGTAGATGTTGTCCTTCGTCTTCATCGCTCATTGTTGTTCTCTGCTGTGTTGGTACCATAGCTGTTCACTGTGTAGGTCCTGTCATACCACACATGTGCTTTCATTTCTTGACAAGTTACCAGTTTTCCTATGCTTGTGTACCTTATTGGCGTCACTAGAACACCTGCAGGTTGATTGTTACTCCACCTGGATTAGAGCTAAGACTAGTTATACAAATACATTGATCTTGTGTTGTATCCTGTATTCCTGTTTCTTCAATTAAATCGTTGGTAACCTATCTTTATCAACGCAAATGGTGACGATGACTATCACTGATCCCACTCTCGTTGCTTGGAGGAGGCTATACCTGCTCCCCATCTGTTCCAGTTCCATCCTGTTGGAACGCCTCAATTGCAAAGTCTCAGCTCACTGGCATACAAATCCCTTTGGACACCGGGCAGGCACCAAGCAATTGCTGTGATTTGGTCTAGGCGAGTATTGTCAGATATAATGTAGGGTGTGGAAAAGGCCACAAGTATGGTGGTTTTTGTTGTTCAGCGAAGCGAAGATCAATCACTTGGGGCGTGTTTGGTTGCCGTTTGCTACAGTTCCTGCATCGCATACACTTCTCAACCCAGTCTGGTTGAGCAAAAACAGGCCCTAAGACGCCATCTGTAAGTTGTTTGGTTGTCTGCATCTAGTGTCCCTGCATTAGGTAATACGCAAGTGCACTTTGTTTGGTTGCCTGTATTGGCCCAAGCAGCACATGAACACGGTGTTTGGTTGCATACGGCGTACATGTTTTGCTTACCTTGTACCCTAGTTGGTGAGCTTACCCACACCTACACCAAAGTCACAGCACAACAATGGCGATGAACTGGGCGAAGATGATGAAATTCTTCAGCTTCAGCCCAAACTGACGATCCACCTTGACACCTCCAACCTTGCCACTGTCAACACTACTGCCTCCATGCTTTCGCAGCCAGTCGGAGTAAGCTTATTCTGTTGCCTGCCTAGTCTTGAACCCTCTATGGCTGTTGTTGCTATACGATGCCACTTGTGCACTGGCTTCTTCCCATGAACTATAAACCCCTAGAACCTTACCGATGAACACGGCATACCACTTGCCCTAGCAATGCACAAGAACAAGAGTTGTAGCAGCAAATCAACGAAGCCCACAAGTAGCAAGTAAAGTAGCACACAAACAACAATGAAGCAGAAGAGAAGAAGTAAAGCATGCATGATCATACGGCATAGCAACTTCTACCTAGCACTACCTTGGTGTTAACCTACCACCACATCCAAAAGAGGGTGTCGTCCTACCATTGCAAGTTCACCATCAGCGTGAGGGGTTAGTATATACCACCTCACCAAAATATACAGACCATCAAATAGTTTTTGAGCCCTAGTCATGCTGCAAAATATACAGACCAGGTCAGGGTGGACGCTTGCACTCCCTGGTGGCTGTTGCCACCTCCTTCACTGCCTCAGTCATGCTGCAAAAGACATTAATCTCCTCCTCCATCAGGCCTGCTCTCTTTCTCTTCCTATCATGGACGGGGTCAAATGGCTTGTCGAAGGGCTTCACGAAGGGCTTGTCAGGGCCATCAAGGACCTCGACATCCGGGGTCCCAGGGAAGTCCTCGATTCATCACTATCATAGCAAGCACATGCTTCATTGCTATCATACTAAGCATATACCGGACAATCTATGAGCAGGAACATACATCTACAACAAACAACATGCTACAAATGGACCACCAATAGCTACAAATCACAGATCTAAGCACGAATCAACACAAGCACAAGGTTGAACTTCAAACTCTACTACTAATCTAGCCTACCACATGCTTGAACATCTAGCCCTACCAAATTGCAACCGCAACATAGCAATCATCCATGTCAGCTCACAGATCAGACCACTAATCAACCATGCATCTATATCAAACCCTAGCTGCAACTTAGATCTAGCTAGAAGGAACAAAGAGAAAGGGGGATTGAACTCACAGAGGCCATGGCTACAACTCGAGGACGAGGGGGGTGGTCGTGGAAGATCAACGCCGGCCGGTGAAGGAGCGCCGACGTCGTGGACCGCCAGCCCATGAAGATGCGTCGCTTACCTGCTCGTCGGTGCCGATGCGTGTCGGCGGGAAAGCTCGAACGGAGGGAGAATGATGGCGGGAGTTGGGGGGTGAGGGAGGGGCTAAATAGGGGTGGACTCGGCGGGAGGTGAGCCGAAATCCTCCTGCCGATTTTTCGGCGACGCGGGCGAGCTCGCTCCATCTCCCTGCTCGCACGAGGGGAGAAGCGCGTCGCCCTTCCCTGCCTCGCCCGAGTCAGGCTCGCGAGCTACTGCCAATTCGGGCGTTTCCCCTGGGTCTGGCCTGGACGTGCTTTAAGTTCCATGCGATGTGGGCCGCATAGTAAATGCAGACAACCAAACGGGCTCAATCTTTCCCGCATGGGGCAGGCTGGGCCATATGCAGACAACCAAATACGTCCTTGGTGAATGAAGTGGATTAACCTGTTTTTGGCTGAGGCCAAACACTTCTTTTTATCGATGGTAGAACTTCGTATATGGTTCAGCCACACCCGGTGTCACGGAATGATTGAGAACTACGATGGGGTTGGAATGCATCTTATTCTGCACATCCTTGCAAACAGACCCGCATATACATATCAGTCTGTTGGATGGTTTCTACACTAGTTTTTTTCCCAGAGTTCTATTCTCCGCTAGTTTTCTCTTAGCCTTCTACTCCACTAGTTTCTTTTTGAGCAAATTCTACTCCATTAGTAGGACGAAGGCAGAGGGGCGCTGGGGCGGAGCCAGTAGGGGGGCCAGCGGGGGCCAGACCCCCACTATGGATCGGCCACCCCCATGGATTTTTAGCGGGGGCTAATACTAATCTTCTGTGTACTTCTTACTTAGTACCTGTATAGGCCTTTTCTCTATGCGTCCCAATATTATTGTTGGCTGGCCCAAGCCCAAAACAAATGGCATAGTTTTCCCGTGAGTGAATTGGACGCATTAATCTAATCACGCGATCGATCGAAGACCATACGTAATACATGCATCTACACGTACAGCCGTTCGTTTCCATTCTGTGTCGTTTGACCTAATCACGCTCCAACTTATCTCTTGTCGCCGCCGCCGCCGCCCACGCCAAGCTAGGGCTTAATCAGGCGTTGACGTCGACCATCATCGCCATGCTAGGGAATAGGCGCACACAATCTTTTGGAAGCGCGAATCCTTCCATGCTTCGTCAACGTTGACCATCGATGGTTACCACATGCCTGTGATCTATGGAAAGAACGATCATCCGTTATGACGAGCAGATGAGACGGGCTGGGCCTGAATTCCGTACTCTAGCTAGGTATGGATTCTTGCGACTTGGTCACTTTTTTTCAAATACAACGCATATTGGCTCAAGATGCTTAAGTATGTCTGCGTTGTCGATTGATTTTCCAATCAAAACTATATGAATGCAAGCTAAATCCTGCTATTTAATTAGACAATGATCAGTCATGTTCGTAAACATACATATGATGACAATGGTCCGTACCAAGGTACTTTATGCCGTATATTGGAGTAATTTGATTACAACTTCATCTACATGGCGCGCACGTGGAATTGTTCAACACTATAAGCTATAGCTAGACCTGCACCGACATCAAGTAATATCGGGATTAAAACTCTTATGTAGTTTGTGAGACAAATTATTTTTTAGCTTCACCCCTATGTCTAAATCCTGACTCCGCCCCTGACGCTGCCATGTATCGCTTATAGCAACCGCAAGAGGGCGGCTGTGAGCGCCAGTTGGGGCTACCAGCGCTCACAAGGGAATCGTAGCGGACCGGCCCAGCAGGCCCAGCAACCTGCTGAGAAAAGCAAAAACATTTCTCATGGGTATTATAAATGGGAGAACATGGATTTTAACTCGGGACATAACCACCGACGGGCGGTCGCCGTAACCACTAGAATGAGCTGCCGTACTTGTCCACTAACTGAAAGAAGCACTATTTGACCATTCTTCCAGTACTACACTAAATATATATCATATATCCGATATTAATTATCTAAAACGAAGTTCACAAAAATATATATAAACCACGAATTCTACGAAAAGTTCAGTATATTTGAAAAAAGTTCATTAAATTTGGAAAGAAACTTCGTCAATATGGAAAAAAGTTCATAAATTTTGAAGGAAATTCATCGAACTTCAAAAAAGTTCATCGAGTTATGAAAAAAGTTCATCGATTTTCTAAAAAAAATCATCAAAAAATGAAAAAACTTCAACCATTCTGAAAAAACTTCATAAGTTTTAAAAAAAGTTTATCGAATTATGAAAAAAGTTCATCGAGTTCCAAAAAGGTTCATCGAAAAATGAAAAAAATTATCGATTTGAATAAAAGTTCACTAATGTGATTTTTTTCATCTAATAAGGAAGAAGAAAAAAGAAGAAAATGAAAATGAAAAAGGCAAAAAGGAATAGAAGAAAGAAGAAAACAAGGAAATGTATGTACCTTATCACTACGGGCTAAGTGGACGTACGGTTAGTGCAGTGTAGGCAAATGCAGGACGTCCCTAGTTCGATGCTGCAGGCGCCCGTTTGGGAAATGTATACAAACAGGCGCCTGTAGTCCTAAATAGGAAACGCCTAGGGCAAGTACAGTGGTTGATAAAATAGCTTTATCTTAATCTTGCATGTAGTTTAGAGACAACAACAAAAAATATGGCTAAAATGAGTTATTTCTTAGTCTTATATTTAATAACTAGCTAATCCTAATAAAATGATGAGACATATTGTGCTAAGAGATCATCTTTTAAATAAGAGAAGACAAATTTTTTGTTATGATTTTTAGCTCTTCCATCTTAACATATATCCTACGTGGTACTCCTAAGATAGCATCATTGTACATGCCCTTAGTGTGCCACACCAAGCGGGAGGCTCCCAACGAGCGGCTGCATTATTTTTTTCCTTTTGATTTTCTTTTTATACCATATTTCC